ATTTAAAAATTGCCCCCACTTCCCATGTTGTAATAGCAGAGATAACAAGTACATCTGTACACTTGCCTGCAGTAACAACTGGAGGAAGTGCTGAAGATACATTGTCACTGCTTTGAGCCAAGTTAACATGATCAGTGTCACTAGTGACGTTGACAAGTGTTGGCTGGTTCACTGCACCTTGCAGTATGGAAGAAACAGTCGATACAGGGCTGGCTGGTGAGGGCAGTGGGCCAACCTACAATAAAACACACCAACAAAAATTTATACATTCAATAGGCCACTTTCAATACAGCAATTAAAATTTCTAACTTGGCTACAAGGCTTGGGGAAACAAAACAAAGGAAAGTAATTATTTATCCCACAACCTTGATGTGCTTTCTTTTGCTTTATTACCCCCAGCCTAGGAGCCACGTTAGAATTTTAATTAATACATGTATATCAAAATGCCCCACTACAATATTATAGAAACTGTACAGCACAAGAATATAATTTACGGTACTGAGCTACATGTAAATGTAGAGTAGACGTGTACGGATCACCTGAGCTTACAAACTTTGATGAACATGTACATTACATGTACATGAACATTTTTTTTGTCTTTTTTGTTACTCATTCCTCTCTTTAGAAGCTAATCTATTTTACTAGGGCATTTTTATAAGAAGAAATTAATTTTTGTGTTTCAGAAAGTTTGGGGCTATAATTAATAAAATTAAACAGGACCAAATTTGCATTATCCTAAATCATAATAATTATTATGTTACAGCACTTGTGCACTTATAGCTAGGTACCACAATAAAATAAAAACATTCTTGAAAATAAAATGTCACTCACTTTTTCTGTAACATTACTTTGTCCATCCTGAGGAGGTGTTAGAGATGTGTTTTGAGGAGTAATGTCTCCAATAACAGATGATAGCTGAATTTGCTGCTGTTCTGAAGGGCTTATCTCTCCTAAAGAAGCTTGCAGAAAACTTTGATTTTGCACGGCTTCATTCTGCGTCATTGGTGTCAGTGATGAAGACCTGACTGTATTTACAGCACTTGGTGGCCTTGTCACTGAAAGTTCTTTTGAAGTGTTTTGTAAAGAATAGTTTGTTACAGGTTTAGCAGTTGTAGTTGGTCCAGATTCATCATCGCTATGGGTGAGTAATTTCTTCAGGTCTTTGGAGCTGTTAGCATCCAGTGATTTCGTTTGCTCTTGTGTACTTGATTCTGAAAGAAATCCGTAACCAAAATGACTAATTAATGCAGATGTTTACAACACAAGAGAAAAAAGACATTCAGCATCAAAAAAAAAAGAAAGATATTTTCTCTTTCCTAAATTTTCAAGCTGTTGTTGTGCACCTCTTTGTCAGAATGAAAAATTAAATGATAATAAATTGTATGTACAATTTAATCTCAAAGTTTGACTGCATGACTTGTACATCATACAAGTATTTAAAAACTTTTTAAGGAGTTTGTTATTACAAAACTTTCCAGAAAATGGAAAATTTCTTTCCTAATGTACATAGTAGCTTATACATACCTAATTCAGAAATACCAAGCTTGACACATCCTTTTGCCTCTGCAGATCCCTTGGGTGGTAAAGACGTGCAGTTCGGCAAAATAACAGCCAAATAGTCAAACTCTCTTGCGACCCTAAAATCTGATTCACATACAGTACTTTCCAGCACTTCGCAGTCTTCTCTACAAAGCCTGATTGGCTTAGGTTTACTTGAACTTGAACAATAGGGGTACGTACTAAGGCAAATAGCTTTCAGTGCATATTTTGCACAGACTTCCAGAAGTCGTGGCTTGAGAAGACTGAAGGGACTTCTAAGGCTCTCCTCTAGTATCTTGGGATTTTTGTTTATGTACAATAGTTTGTTTTTATCCAAATAATTGTTGCAGATGTGACCATGGTAGTGATGGCAACTGGCTTGTCTGAGGAAAAAGAAAAGAAAGCTTTGATTCAAAAACTACATGTACCCTCAATTGAAAATGTCTTATGCTATGCAGGGCAGGAAAAAAAAGCTGAAACAACAAATTTCAGTCTTCACTTGTCCTCACTTACATGTAAATATAATTACTAGCCTGATATATTTGCAACAAAGCATCCAAGAAAGCAGCTATTATATGACAATCAGAGGAGAACGCAAACAAAGTACGCTTGGATTTTAAATCCATCCCTGCTTTCAATTCATTGTTTCGCTCATCTGAAAGTCTAAGTTTTTCTAAGTTTTTGTTTTTTCCTGACTGCGCAGGACCCAGAAAAACCAGACTGATATAATGTCTACAGGTTACTCAGTCTATGAATTCATGTATTATGGACAGCTCCATAAAACAGACACTGTCCGTTTGGAGAGCTTAGACTGTACTGTAACTCTACCATTCTTCACTGATGAAATCCCTACTTTATGCATATACTGTACAAGTTGTACACTGCATGACACAACTTAGCATTTTCATTTGTTTTATATTACTACAGTTTTTTAATATATAATTAACACCATACCCCAAAACTAAGGAAATTACCAAATTGTACCAAGGGTAAAATTGAATCACAACCTGTATAAGTAGGATTACTGCAAAATGTAAATAAATACTTATAACTATAAATACAGTCCAACTTATAGCAAGCAGCCACCTACATGTATTAAGCAGCCACCCCTTACTAAGCAACCGGTTATCAAAGTCCCAAATTTATTGTCAGTAAAATACTGCCAATAAAATCCCCTACTAACTGGCCACCTTTGGGTCATACCAATGAGTGAAGACATATAAGCGTCTGTAATAGAAGGTGACGAGTGATAAAAACATTCAAATGCATGTTTATAATGATTGTCTTAAAGTGACTCAATGTTCACTAAGAAATTACCCTGATGTTGAAATTATTCAAAGTAATCAAACCTCCATTAAGTGGCCACCTCCCATTTCCTGGAGGATGGCCACTTAATAAGGGTTCATCTGCAATACCTTTTCTCTCTAATAAGTTCCTTGTCTGGATCATAATCCAGGGCGTTCCTACTATAAACGAAACAAAAAAGTAAATTTAAAGTACATAGTAAATATTTTATGTATGCAGATGTCAATTCAATTTATGATCAGAAAAATGGAAACACTAAAGAAATTATGTCTTGTTGGTAGAAAAACCACAAATAATTAAGGTGTGTGTTGCATAGAAAAGAGAATGTGCAATACCAACCTTTCACGGTCCCTTTTCTTTAAAAACTTGGCTGAAAGGTAAACCAGAATTAATTACTTGATATTTCATATCAGAGGAAAAAACAAAGATCACTGCTACCAAAGGTATCATAGATTACACCTTTGTGGTAGTGGGGGGGCAGCTATATAAGGTCCTGTGTGTTTTAGTAAATTTAAAGAGTTAAATGAGTTATAAATACTTGTAAAAAACAAATAAATCTTGGTCTATGTGCACGGGACTTTTCTGAGGTTAGAATGTTTTTCAAATTTGACATTTTCAGGCACCATAGTATGGCAGACTTTGTTCAAAATGCATTGAACATGAAGGTTAGTGAAAACAAAATTCATGATCAGGGGTGTTGAAAATGCAACAGTGATCTGCTGACCTTCCAAAATGATTTGAAACTCAGACAGGCGACAAGCCTACAGCAGCTCAATATTACTGCCAGTCATGTCAACATTCAATGATACAAACATGTCACAACTTGTCCCTTAAAGTCAACTATATAAACATACGGCAATGAAGAAATATGAGACTTCCCATTCATAAAGAGATAATGATCTGATGATAGGTTGCTGCTTGCACAATACTTCTACATTCGATTTTTTTCATTTTTCATTTGCTTACTGTCAAATCTTCACCTGAAACTTAAGATTAATAACTAGCTCCAAGGAAACCTTTCTCCCTCAAGAATTTAAAAGAAATAAATAATTAATTCTCTTGTTAAGCCGTGATCTTTCAAGCATTTCCTTAACTTGAAACCACACAAGCATAAAGTCTATTTAAGTTGACTCAGCTGCTTTTAAGATTTAGATGAAGGCAACCATAAATTATAAAGACAAAATATTTGATCAACTGGCTTTTGGATCGCTTACAACAATTGCAAAAAGCTATAACGGAGATTGTCTCCTATACAGGTACCAAGAGTACAACGAACAAATATGAACAGGGCTTTCAGCTGACCAGACAAAAGGCGCTATATTATGAACTTTTTAGTCTTTGATCACTTCGATTTTCTTCCAAACTAAGAAAAGTACATAGCTCCAGTAGAGATTAACAACCTGATTGCAACAGAGGTGTCAAGAAGCTAAAAACTTTCCATCAGAATGCCACACTTTAAGTAGCTTTTAGTTAATCGGATTCAAGCCTACGTTGCAGGAATTCAGTTGTCTCATACAATCAAAACCATTGTGATCTCTCGCAATTTCCAGCGCTGATGTGTGAAAACAGCACTTTCGATCGCTACTTTCCGTGGGATATTGCTAATCTGAGACAAAAATAAACTCAACTTACCAATGTTCCGCACGAAAATTCGAGGAGCCACAATCCCCGATCGCTTTACAACTTTCTGCGGCATACACGCATCAGCGCTTTTACACTGAACAGAAAAGCAACCACCATTGACAAGCAAGGCTAGTTCGCATGAGTCATTTGCACAGCATAGTTCTTTGCATGTTTTCATACTCGTAGTGTGTCTGAGAATTGAAAAATCGCCAGCCCTGGCGCCTTCTCGAAGAGTAGCTCTGTACCATTCGCGGCCATCTTTGGTACACTTTTTCGCGTCGATGTTACTCGACTTCGAAGCCACAATTCCTGCAATAAACGTTAGCTTGGGTTAAGAAAACTGCACCAGAAACACAACGAATCAACGAATTTTCCATGAACACAAATCCACACTAACCTAGAAATATTAAGACACATAAAAAACGTAGACCAGTTTCGTGTCGTGACTTCCAACAGAGCGCGCACTCCACAGAAGCCATTGCATATCCAACCAAGCTGAGTTTCATTCGAATTTATATCGCTAGAACTCCAAACGACACTGTGTAGCACCAAAACTGTTAACTTGAACGATATAACGTTCAAACGCTTCCTTGTAACTGATATCCATCGTTGTAACCCGAAGAATGAAATTAACAGTGCCACATAACAATTCAAATTCCCGCAAATCTTCACTTCCTTCAATACACGGCCGCCATCTTGATCGGAAGCTGTTTATGGTTTATTGATAACGATGACGTCACCTATACGGGAATCTGTGGATATTCGAAGCTCATTGGTTTGAAATCAGCTGAGTTCAGACGCAGAGTGAAATATGATTTTTGGATTTCAGTGGTGCATATTTCAAAGCATAAATACATGCTAGGTAACGTGCTAAAATAGTAAGATTTTTCTTTCATCGGTCTTGGTTTTGGGAGAATAATTTCTAAAGAGAATATTTATAAAGAAAGTCACGCTCTGGTTGATCACGTGACACTGACGTGGTCAAATCGAGCACGATTGGAAAATTAAGAGAAATTTGTGCTCAAATTAAATATTCTTCAAAAGAAACACCAAAAAAAGGCTTCTTATTTTAATCGTTCTAGTTCCCAGAGCCTTCGGTTCTTTTGGTCACGTATTTTAAAAAACGTAGCACTGGGGACAAGAATCATCCCCAGTGATCCAGGTACGGTCGCTACGGTCGCTTCGAAAAAAGGTTCAGCGGTGATCGTTGTGAATAGATATGACGATGGCAGCAATTATATATGGAAACTGGTAGTCGTGATTATAAGGATCTCTCAACATTTTTGGAGCAATCGCTACAATATATATCGCAGAGATCTTTGCAGTCTAGCTCGGCAGTCATGCGTTTTGCTTTCAGTACATTTTGGCGGCAAAAAAGCCCGCCAAAAGTTAGCAGACGCGCTCAACAGACGCGCGCCGGGGACTGTAGAAAACAAGTCGCTCAGAAATAAAAAAGAAAACTTGCAGAACTTGCGACTAGATTAGCTTACTGAGTGCTAGCTGATCTTTGCATTATTAAATTGATTTTCAAACAAGATGTTATGTGGAAATAGAACTGTACAATCCTGGCCCTTGGATAAATATGCTAAGTTTATTATGACAGGCACAAACCAAGGACAACAGACAAAAGATCAGGGTCACTGGAAGGTTAGTTGTTCGCGTCGGTGAGGTGTTTTATAGATGTACAAAAACAGAGTCAGTGAAAGTTGATTTCACTTAAATTGTATTTTATTTTTCTTTAATGTACTCTTTGCAGCAATTTTTGCCCGCCGAAGATGGATCTAGCAATTTACAAGTGTCTCTACTAGAATCAAACATGGTCGTAAGCGATGGAAAAGTTATTCACGTAGGTTTTCATTGATCTCTCTTTAGTCTTACTAAGCAAGTTATAAATCTTGTGTTAACTTAGCACAGTTTTGAGGCCCCATTAGGCGTGGGGGGGGGGGGTCTGAATATCCCGTATCCCATTAATTTTTGCCCCAAATGTCCCGTACCCCATTAATTCCTGTAGTTTGTATCCCTATAATTCAAGTTCGATATCCCACTATCTCTTTTCTAAATATCCCGTATCCCTATAATTTTTCCCCGAAATATCCCGTATCCCTATAATTTTTTTCGCAAATATCCCGTATCCCTAAAACCCCTAATGGGGCCTCAGTTTTTATGTTCATAGTTTCACATTTTGCACTATATGAGCTTAGTAAGTACTCTTTGAAGAGCTTTAATATATGACCTGTAACTCTGCTGTTTATTCGTGTTTTCTCCATAGGAAAGTTTCTCTTTATTTAATGCCAACAAGTGGTTGAGAGCTGTGGTTAAAGGTGACAGTATGCTGTTCATGTACAAGATGAACGTAAGTTTTATGTAGTGTCACTGCTTGTTTGTCTTTAGAAGAGTGAGAGACCGTATTAATCGGGGGTGGGGGGCAATTTTAACTACCAATGAAAATAATAAGAATCAGAAGCTCCTTGCACCAGCTTAGACTTTCCTCACTTAATATTTGTTTTCGCAACAGGAGTGCATGTCTTCATCACTTCGGTTTTTGGTAATGCTGCTTTCTGACTAATAACTGGTAAACACTTTGGCCACTATCATTTGTCTCTTTGTTGTCTTATTTCAATAGAACGACTGCCGAAGATTCAGAGTGAAATTCAGCAAAACCTCTGACCGATCAGCGATGGAAAACTGCCGTCATTTCATTTCCGCCGTCTCTCCCCGAATCCCCGTGCGAGAGATGCCAGTAGCTGCGGGACCCGAGTCCGACTCCCAGATGCAGATGGAGGATTCACAGGTTATTTCTCCCGACTCGCAGCAAGTCAGTAGAGGAACCACACGCGGGGCCGGCTGCAGCTCTATAGCAAGCGCTGCTGCGAGTGGATTGACACTGTCTGACTTAGCGCAGAAGGTAGCCTATCTCCTTGATAGTCGTGATAGAGAAGGAGGAGGGTTGGGCGTTTGTAAGGGTTTTGTGCAATAATTGGCTATCCCACAGTCGCTACTGACGGCCGAGGTAACGTATTCGAAGCTCAAAATTCGGCCTTTCCGTTTTTCCTGCATCTATAGCTACCCAAATAGCATCGATATTGCAAAGAGAACACGCCAAGAGCTCTTGAAAATACATATCGTCTACCCATAAAAATTCAGATTTTCAAACATCGCAAGGGGCGTTTTCCATTCGACAAAATTTCTAGTTTGAACTCCAGGAAATTTCTAGGGGCATTTGGAACATTCCAGAAAAGAAGATAACCCAGCGAGGTATACCTAAAATTTAAAAACAATTTTGCCTAGAATTTCCTGTATTTTCTGCCAAATGAATGCTTCGCATCTCGGAAATTCAACAATATTCAAATTTTCCGGAAACTTTTCCAAAACATTTCTACTACATTTTCCTAGATTGTAAAAGTTATAGAATATTTGGTCGAAAAGCACCAACAGATTGACAAAATGATATCCTCATGCATATTTGACGATAATCAGACTTATAAAAACTCAACAGATTAAGTAATCAGTCTCATTCCCTGAATGCTTTTGTATTTCAGGTTACTTCATCAGAGTCACACAGGGATACCAACCAGTCCAGTAGCCATATTGATATACCACAGGATCAGCTAAGTCTGATGATAAGACTTTGTTTAACCGACAGTAACTTCCCTGCCTTTGTTGAGGCTGTTGAAAAGGAGCTGACAAACTTGACCTCTTCGGAATAAAACTAAACGTTTGAGTGTTGCATTCTCCGTGTTTTACATAAGCTAAGTGTACCACGCGATAGAAAATATGGCCTGCAGTGCAGACGGATTCCAGCTGTTGATTGTCTCTGCAAAAAATAACGTGTTATTATTTTCGGCGGAGACAAACGACAGC